ACGACATAAATATTTTTAAATACAGTATGGCCATCTATTTACATATAAATACTGAATTTCTGGAAAAATATATACAGTATTTTCCACATAGACCAAAATCAATTCCAACTTCTAAGATTAACTGGCATATATGTAAAGTTTTAAAATAAGATGTTTATAGTGATAAGTGCTCCATAATTTTATAAATAATGTTATCAACTGTGGGCACTTTTAGTGAGTGAAGTCCCGGCCTGACTATCATAGCAGTGTGACTAGTGACAGCGCCTCGAGAGGTGGTGTAGCTTGAGGAAGGTAACGGAGTTAAGTACTTTGGATTATGTTATTATAATTCTCAGGCCGTAGGCTAGTTTTTGGGGTTATATTTACAATCACATAGGTGCTGGTATGGGCCTGGCTTGGTGGAGTTGGTGTGTTCGGGAAAGATTCTGCTAATATAGCGCATTTAACAGGCTAGAAGCCGACTGGAAGAGTGGTATTTATTGTGACCCACCGGTAACTAGCCCAATGTTTTATATTTTTTCTTCTACGTCCTAGCATTAATTAACCAGTAGCGGTTTTACTAGTGTATTTTGTAAAATGCGAAATGTATTAAACGCAGGTTTTATGCTTTATATATTATCATTGATAATATTTGTACATTTTTCTAAAGGTTTATTTTATCTGCCCTTCCTGGTAATCAAACCTAGAGTATTGACCACTTGTTTAATATATTACGTTGTCTGTGGGGTATGGGAGCTTAGGGTGGCTTATTTTTTAATAACTACATATACCCCTAGACAAGGTATTTTTTACCTCTTTATTTCTATGATAACTTCGTAACAGTAAGTAAGTACAAATGTTTTATTTAGGAGATAGGAAAATAACGTACCTCATTCACAGAATCGCCAATAACACGATTGTAAACACATCAGGGAACTGGTGGAGTTTCACGGCTCACTCGTCATTGGTTCAAACTGCATGGGTTCAAACGTTATGTTAAATCCCATTGTGTAACATAACGTAATTGTTTTCTTACAGTGGTCTTGAGAGCTGACAGGTGTTATGCTCCTCAAGGAAAGTTCCTCGACGCTAGTGAGGGGCTCATGATGTAGGGTATTGGATCTGTGCTCCGGTTTACTGAATTGATTCTAAAATACCTTCCATCCCCTCCCCCCCCCCACAGGCGCTATATAATCCCTAGCGCTTCCCATAATAATAATAATAATAATAATAATAATAATAATAATAATAATAATAATAATAATAATAATAATAGTAATAATAATAACAGATGTTATAGGGACATGAATGTACATCATGTATATTTACCCTCGGCTGACTTAATAAAGTCAAGCACTGACATTTATTGTTGGTCTGATGATACATTCTCTGGTTATTTCATAGAAATTAGTTGACTTTATAATATTACTGCATTAATACTTACACAAACTAAATAAAGGAAAGCTTTTTTAAGGCTGTGGTTCTCAACTGGTTTCAGATCACAGGCCGGAAAATTAAATTATTTTTTGTGGATCACCATCTTGTTTGAGAAATTATATAAACAAATAGACAACGAATATTTCAGTTTGAAATCTGCCTACTAATTTTTTTTTTTGGGGGGGGGGGCGGGATACTATTCTTACTGACAAGCTTTTCCGTGTTAGGAGAGGACCACTTTTTTTTGTGAAATGAGATAAAAAGAGTACACAGATAATATAGTGTTAAATTTATTCCTTATTAGCCAGTGTTTTGGATTCTCTTCCTACTGTATGGAAAGGTACTTGACAATGCGCAGTGAATATCTCTTTCTACTGCTTGCTGATTCCTGTGTCTGGATTTAATTTGCAACAAACACGAAAATCCAGTTACACACATACACACACACACACACACACACACACACACACACACACACACACACACACACAAACACACACACACACACACACACACACACATCACCACACACACACACACACACACACACACGTTGATGCAAATGGCGAAAGGAATCTGACTGCATGTACTGACAGATTTGGGTAACTCCCAGTCGTATATACCGACTCAAAACTTCTCCATAGTCGACTGCTGGTACGAGTCTTGAGTCGCCAAATAATTTTTCATATCCATGACTTGCTCCTGCAAATCCTCTGGAACAATATTAACGTTTGTTGTGATTGGATTGTTGATAAACTTCGGAAAATATTGCAATTCGTCCCTGAGCACGGCATTAACATTTGGAAATTGAACCAAATTATGATGAATTAGACACATGTGCAACATGTGGGTATTTGAATAAATGATTTAGAAAACCGACAAGTTGACACATGAGACGCTTGTGCAACATTTGGGTACCTGGAAACGTTTCGTCAGCCAATGGGTTCTTCAGTCCAATGTAGATGTTTCAACCCTCCACTGGGTTTATCAGTACAATACATGGGCATAACCTGAAGACTGTAGATATACAACGTTTACAATTTATCACGAAAATCTTTGATGATGCAGTTGACAAGATACACAATTGTACATTTGATTGCGTCAACAATTTCGGAATTCCTCTTCCTTTAGAGCAGGTGTCAGCAACCTTTTGGAGAGAGAAAAGGTCAGACAGCTGTGCAGTCTCTCGGAGGAGAGCCATGTTATTAAATGTAACATAAAAAATTTTTTTTCGAACTCAGACCGCGCTGTCCAGAAAGCTGCCTTGGTCTGGAGGCTTAAAGAAAAAAAAAAGGATTTTAACGTTATTTTATTTAAACTATGTTTCTTATTGTACTGCATTAATAACAGAAAAACAACTATTAGCACAATTAACAAAAAAATGCAAATTCCTTACTACAAACGAAATACAGTTAGATATGGCAAATTATTTAATGAGGCGCTTGTTTTTGCATATTGTTGGACAACAAACTCAAATGAAAAACTCTAAGGAGGGAGGATACGAAGTTTAAAATTCCCAGGGACTGCTTAACCTACTGCATCTATTCGATACTAATTAGATAATTAGTGCCGAGGTGTTAAGTTGGCGGGCTAGAGGAAAATCTCAAGCGGGCCGGATGTGGCCCGGGGGCCAGGGGCTGCCGACCCCTGCCTTAGAGAATGGACAAATAAATCTAACCCCTCTTTCAAATTTAAAAAAATTTTGTTGAGTACTTTCACTACTGACAACCACCGTACAAAAGTGAGGAACAGTAGCACATCAAAATCGGAGCTCATATCTCGGCAAAAATCTTTTGAAGAGTCTTATGTTCACTGCTGATGATTTAATGTCATTGACCACCTTTACCAACGCTTTGAAAAGGTGTTCACTTGTTCCGGCAGTGTTTTTAATGCCAATACTTTCCCATGAATAAAGCCACGCACCCGGTTAAACAGTTGGAGCGCGCTGCTACACCAGTGTTTGGAAGGCAGATCTTGAGCCTAGCATGACAGGCGCACCGTCAGTGCTGACACCCACAAGACTAGACCAGTCCTAACCATGATCTTCAAATAAATTTTTAACATTTTCGAACACATCCTCAGCATTGTGGTGGTATCAAGAGTCTTACAAAAAAAAGAGACAACTGTTTGAAGTGTCCCTCAGCCATGTATCGTGCGAACACCAATAGCTGAGAGCACAATACGTCATCACCGATTCATCCACTTGTATGACAAACAGTGGGGACTGCCGTTTCATACTCAACTAATCATTCTCACTCACGAATATGCCAACATCAAACTCCGAGCTGCCCCACCAAGTGCACCTAAAGTGCTTATTGTCATCTACAACGTCAACAAGCATTTGACTCCTCAATATCTGGCGTCAGAGCAAGTTGCAAGCCCTCGTCGACTTTCCAACGGTCTGATATTAGCTGAGTGGACTGGCCAGGGGACTCTGCCACGCTATATTCACTCCCGTGCAGCCCTCAACAGACGCTATAACATTGCATTGTACAGACCTCCTCAACGTCGATGTTATAAGTGTCAACGCTGGGGCCACATTGCCAGGAAATGCCCATCTAAGTCACACTGGTGTGCAGTGTGTGCCAATGCTCATCCTTCTGAACGGTGTTATATGATCAAACATCAACAGACTGTTGCTAAACAATGTATCAATTGTAAGACTTCAGGAGTTACAGCAGCTCATGCTGACTGCAGTGTGAGGGCTGCCAACATCACAGCCACCCGCACCTCACCCTGTACCCCTCATTATGACCCCCCAGGACTACCAGGTACCTCGAGTCTGAATACTGGCTCATGCCTGCCCTCAGACAATGGGGTTGAGCACCTCACTGGGGAGCACGTCAACAGACCTCCATCACGTCGGCTGTCAATACCAGCCTAGTTGAGTCAGCTGACAGTCAGCCAAATAGCTCAGCTGACCGGGACTTCACGTCTCCAGATGTTCCAAGTCTTGCTCCTGTGGTATACAACCTGATGTCGCGCATAAGGCTACTGGAAACACAACAATTTCTCCTGAAACAACAACTTGAACAACACAAGGAAAGATGTGTAGAGTGTACCAATAACAAGATTGTCACAATT